TATTCTTCAGTCTTCATCAGTAGGTGCCTCAAGTCATCCTCACTTTCAGCAAGCAAAGCTGTATCATCAGCGTATCTCAGGTTGCTAATGATTCTTCCTCCAATCCTGATGCCACATTCTTCTTCATATAGTCAATCTTCTCAGATTATTTGCTCAGCATATAGGTTGAATAAGTATGGGGAAAGGATACAACCTTGACACACTCCCTTCTTGATTTTAAACCATGTAGTCCCCTTGTTCTGTTGGAACGACAGCCTCCTGGTCAATGTACAGGTTCCTCATGAGTACAATCAGGGGTTTGGGAATTTCCATTCTTTTCAATGTTATCCATAATTTGTCATGATCCACACAATCAAATTCCTCTGCATAGTCAATAAAACAAAGTAAACATCTTTCTGGTATTCTTTGCCTTGAGCCAACATCCATCTGACAGCAGCTATGATATCCTTGTTCCACGTCCTCTTCTGAATCCAGCTTGCACCTCTGGAAGTTCTCTGTCAATATACTGCTGCAACCGTTTTTGAATTATCTTCAGTAAGATCTTACTTGCTTTCGATATTAATGATATTGTTCTATAATTTCCACATTCTGTGGGATCACCTTTCTTTGGAATGGATACAAGTATGGATCTCTTCCAGTCAGTTGGCCAGGTAGCTGTCTTCCAAATCTCTTGGCATAACCAAGTGAGTGCCTCCAGTTGGACATCCGTTTGTTAAAATATCTCAATGGGTATTCCATCAATTCCTGGAGCCTTGTTCTTCGCCAATTCCTTCATTGCAGCTTTGACTTCCTCCTTCAATTCCATTGGTTCTAGATCATATGCCACCTCCTGATATGGATGAAGATTGACCAATTCTTTATGGTACAGTGACTCTGTGTATTCCTTCCATCTTCTTTTGATGTTTCCTGCATCATCCAATATTTTGTCCATAGAATCTCTCAATACTGCAACTCAAGGCTTAAATTTTTTCCTCAATTCTTTCAGCTTGAGAAATGCTGAGCATGTTCTTCCCTTTTGGTTTTCTAACTAAAGGTCTTTGCACATTTCATTATAGTAATTGGCTTTGTCTTCTGGAGTTACTCTTTGAAGTCTTTTGTTCAGCTTTTTTATCTTGTCATTTCTTCCATTTGCTTTAGCTACTTTCCACTCTTGCGCAAGTTTCAGAGTCTCTTCTGTCATCCATTTTGGTCTTTTCTCGTCTTTTTAGTGACCTCTTTCTTCATAGATGATGCTCTTGATGTCATCCCACAATTCTTATGGTTTTCGAGCATTGGTGTTCAGTGCATCAAATCTATTCTTTAGATGGTCTCTAAATTCAGGAGGGATATATTCAAGGCCATATTTTGGCTCTTGTGGGCTTGGTTTAATTGTCTTTAACTTCTGGTTGAACTTGCATGTGAGCAGTTGATGGTCTGTTCCACAATCAGCTCCTGGCCTGGTTTTGGCTGAAGCTATTGAGCTTTCCCATCGCCTCTTGCCACAAATGTAGTCAATCTGATTTCTGTATGTTCCATGTGGTGAAATCCATGTGAACAGCCCCCATTTGTGTTGTTGAAAAAAGGTGTTTTCAGTGAATAAGTCATTGGTCTTGCAAAATTCTACCATGTGAGTTCCAGCATTATATCTGTCACCAAGGCCAAATTTTCCAACTACTGGTGATTCTTCTTTGTTTCCAACTTTTTTGCATTGCAGTCACCAGTAATAATTAACACATCCTGATTACATCTTCAGTCAATTTCAGACTGCAAAAGTTGATAAAATCTTAAATTTCCTCATCTTTGGCTTTGGTGGTTGGTGCATAAGTTTGAATAATAGTCATATTAATGGATCTTCCTTGTAGACATATGGATATTATCCTATCACTGATAGCATTGTACTTCAGGACAGATCTTGAAACATCCTTTGTGATGATGAATGCCATGCCATTCCTCTTCAAATTGTCATTCCTGGCATGGTAGATCATATGGTTGTCTGATTCACAATGGCCAAAACCAATCCATTTCAGCTCACTAATGCCTAGGATATCAGTCTTTATGCGTTCCATTTCATTTTTGACAACTTCCAGTTTTCCTAGATTTATACTTTGTACATTCCATGTTCCGATTATTAATGGATGTTTGCAGCTGTTTCTCCTCAGTTTGAGTGGTGCCACGTCAGCAAATGGAGGTCTCGAAAGCTTTACCTTATCCATATGAGTAAGGTGGGTTTTACTCTGATGATGCAGCTCTTTCCCAGTCCTGTTTTGAGAGCTCTCTATCCTAAGTGACTCATCCTCCTTCTCTGTATTGGACAATGTTTCTGGACTATTTATAAAGTGGCGCAGAAATGTATCAGACAGTGTTTCTCTTCTATTCATGTGGTTTTCCCTGGCCAATTCTTTGACAAGTGGATGGCCTTTTTCTTCTTCCTAGTCTGTCTCAGTCTGCAAACTGGGCTGATACACATGCAACCATGTGCATCCCACTGGGTTTGAAACACCAGTTGCATGGCCTCAAGACTCAGCAACACATCACAGTAGGAGGACAGACTGACAGACAAGTTTGTCTCCCTCAGCTGTTGGAAACCTCTCCAACCTCCCCTTACCTGTATCCCTGCAGCTGACTCCTCGCTCCATTCTGGTCCCCCTTGCCTTTTCTGTTCTTTACCTGATTTCCTGCCTTGCCGCTTTGGGGTGTTGCCTGGGTTCCTTCCCCTCACTTGGATCCCTGCGACTGACTCCTTGCTTTGCCTGGTCCCCCTGGCCTTTTACTCTTCTTTCTCCCGCTTTCCTGCCTTGCCGCTTGTGGGGCGTGGCCTGAGTTCCCTCCCCTCACCTGGATCCCTGCGGCTGACTTCTTGCTCTGTGTGGATCCCCCTGGCCACAGATGTTATTACATTGTGGTAAATTGTAGTCAGTGTCATGAAACAAAATGTGTATGAACTGCTATATAGAAAACGAATTTGCTCTGTAAACTTTTACCTATATCACGATAAAACAAAACAAAACAAAAAAAGTTATGTGATAATTTAAAAATGATCATTTTTTGTTGTCATTAATTTTTCATTATACCAGTAGTCAGAGAATGTAAATCAGTAATACTTTGATTTCTATTTAAATTTTATTTGTGATCTTTTATATGATCAACTTTTGTGATTGTTCCAAGGGTAC